CTGTACTCACACACATAACACTCCAGCGTAACTCCATGAAGCTCGAACACCGGCGCCGCAGGCCTCGGACGCCTGCGGTGCCCGGTGCCGGTGTTGGAGATTCCTGGAGTTACTGCACTGTGATGTGTGGTGACTGAAGTTAGCTTGCGACTGAATTGTCAGTCCAATGGTTTTCTTGTCAAAACTTCCCTTTAGAAAATGATAATCAAAATTGAGTATACATGGCCGTAATAATCACAAAATAAGCTTTGATTTCATACCTTCATTCACGAAAACTATATAAAAATCGCGGCAATCATGATGGAAATAGGTCTCTAAGTTTGGACGTCGACGGGAAGCCCCGTGTATCTCTTGTGCAGCTACTACATGCAAAGCACATCCTAGCTACAACAAAGCACATCCTATAGAAAGATGCTTTACTCTCGGTAATCCCGCCCTTTGCATAGAGCATTTAATACGCAACTTAATGTGAGTGGATAGTCATCGGTCGTGTGTCTACGGATGTAATGTTGAATATCCATGAGGTATCTCTGTCGTCACGCATATCCTGCATTATGCATATCGCGTCTGTTTTCGCCCTGGACGTCGACACGGAGGGGGACCTCGGGCGGAGTATAGCTAATTCCACAGAGTAGACTCTCCCGCGGACGATGGCACCGGGCACGGGTACCCGGAGGGGAGGGTTCAGGAGGAGATAGCCGCACCAACTTCGGTCGGCGATCTCATTAAAAAACAATAGAAAACAAAGGCTCGCCGAGACGTCGCGCCCCCCGCGGAGTCTTAGCGTATTACTTATATAGATATTGAAAAAGGTTAGCAATTTTTCACTCGTTCTGAAAATTATGAACTCACCGACAAGAGTCACAAAATCTTCCCTTTGAGAGAAGATGTCATCAAAATTCTAAGTAAAAAGTGATATTTGCCTTTCAATTTATGCAATTAATTGAATTACATTACCCTAGAGTTTGATGGATGCTTTTTTTTAAATAAATAAAAAGTTTGTCTCTATGTCTAGGTTCATGTCATGACACTGTGGTCTTTACCAGAGTAACAGTAAATATACCGCTAAACTCGACTGCTGCCGAAATATCGGAAATGGACACAGCCTCACTCATAGCAACATTACTATACTTGATTGGTTGAGCACGCTATTGTTCTCGTGACCCGTGTGCTTCGGCAAATAGACCTTGTCCGTTATTGATCAAATTATTTGACTGCCCGTCCACCCGTGGAGTATAAAACACGCTTGCTTACAACACATTTTATCACCTGACGAAGTGTTGCAGCGGATAAGGCTGCGACGGGTAGTCAAATGCACGAGTACCCGCACGTTTGACAACTACTCGGGTACGATTTCTCGTACCCGAATATTCGGCCGCAAAAAAAAAAAAAAAAAAAAAAATTGTCCAGGCCGACCCTTACCCGTGCCAGAGAGAGCAGCGGCCGCTGGCATGGTACCGTCTGTACAAATGTTTCCCAACTCAAGCACTGTCACACTCACCACTCAGAAAATGGGACCAAAATTTATGTCCAGATTTCTGTTTGGACTCGGAGGACAATAGATTATTCTGCCATCTTTTGTTTTTAAAACAGCATTGTTCACTGTTATTATTATTATTAAATCGGCGCCTTCAACTGCAACTCGAAGTTAAATTGCATGTGTTTTCGGCGATACTGGGCTATTGCACCAGAGGTATGGTGGTGGCAAAAAAAAATTTAAAATTTAAAAAAAAGAAAAAAATTTAAAAAAATTAAAAATTAAAAAAAAACATGGCGTCCGAATATTTGAGTATTCGCTTGTAAGCCTGGGAGTGTACTCGGGTACCTCATTACACTGTTGTGCACAGCCTTAGCAGCGGCACACAAAAAAGTAATGATCTTTTAGATCCCTTGTTGACCATACATTGCAAGACAAACGAATGTCACTAGCGATATTATTTTCGATATTACTATAGGGGTCTAGGTCTACTTTGTTTGCAATAAAAAATGAAGGAAAAATTGTGCACGTCATTACGAACTCGTAGCTCGTGCACAGTTTTTCCTTCATTATTTCATAATCATTTTGCCTAGAAGGGATGAGATTTAGATGACGTCATGCGCAGCGAGAGTTTAAAGTACGGCTGCAAGATTTTTAACATGGTAACATGGTAAAATCCCTTTAAAATACATTGCTATTAGCATATCACACACATACAATAACATGCCAGAGTCACTGGCAAACCACATTTGCAATAGAAAAATGTATCCTTAAAGGTAAAGACCAGTATTGGCAACGCCCCAATTTCAAAAAATGAAATGGAAGCTCTCATTACCAATCATGTGAAAGAATATGTTTTGACTAATACATGATGATAAAAAATTTGCCGGGAAACCGCCTACTAATTCATATATTTGGTAAATTTATTTCTCTCATGGTCTGGTGAGAGAGATAGGGTAGTCCCATATACATCTTTCTGTGTATAGTGCTTGTAACTTTACGAAGAATGGGCCAAATTTCTTATCATTTTGATGATTCCAGAACCTTGCAGATGCTAGATGCTAGATGATCAACCTTTTCTGATCGATTCCACAACGTTTCTTTCACAATGCAATCGCATGACCATTACTGGTCTTTACCTTTAAATACCACATTTTAGCGATGTAATCATCGGTCCCACTACCTGAATCTGAAAAATTCTTACGCGTGCATGTAAGGAATATGGGTACCATAAAATGAGCTGTAACTTTAGACCCTATTTCAAGTATTTATCAGATTTAGAGTCAGATTTTTTGAGTATCGCAAGCTCAAAAGTTTCTCACTGCATGTATCCTACCATTGCAGTCGGATACTCAAAATCAAAATCAGTCAAAATCGAAATCCACGTCTTGCAAGATTTTCAACATGGATTTCGATTTTGACCCATAATTTCCTAAAAAGGGACCATTAAATGGATTATTTCAGTCAAGTTGGTAAGTGGAACCGATTTATTATAGCCTAGGCCTAATTTACAACATGCACAAGGTAAAATGACATTTGGGGGGATTTTCGGGGCATAAAAATATGGCCATAAATGGCCATGGTGTTAGCAAGGGAATGCGTATAGGTCGGCCTACAGCCTTTTCACACACAGCTAAAATTCTATAAACATGACTACATGTAGTATAAACGTGTTTCGAACGTGTTTAAACTAATCACGAGCCTTTCACACACAGAAATTTCGGTGCGATCGTTAATTGTTTCGTGATTAACTACTGCTCGTTAAATGCGCAGTAGTGCCATTGCGCATTGAAGGTCATGTCATGTCAATCAAAGCGCACGCTCCATCCAGTTTAAACACGTTTAAACAAGAATTTCCTTTCACACACAAAATGTCAAGCTCTCTAGATACGAACTTCGTATCTGCAGCCTGCTTTTAGGGGCGTATGGATCGCGACTTCGTATCTATCCCAACATCGTATAGTCTAAACGATGTTCACACTGGGAAATTTTGTCTAGATTCTATATAGATCTAGATCTAAACATGTTTAAAATTTTACGATGATTCTAATCATCACTAGATACGATGAATTTTAGCTGTGTGTGAAAAGGCTGCTAGTCGGCTTCCGTCTCTAAAGAGAGAGCCGACCCAATTAAGACTAAGAGGCTAACGAACGCAAGAGACGGAAAATTTGGTCTAATATAGACCTAGGGCCTAGATCTAGCTAACTTAGATCTAGTAGGGCTGTTCGATCTGTCTCTAAATTAAAGAGAGAGCCGACCCTACCCAAATCAGAGGCTAACGAACGATATGGGTATAAACATAGATCTAGTCAGCCCGTCCAGCAACCGGCCCTAGCTATGGCATGCCAGGCTTAGGCAGCTAGCAGAGCTAGCTCCCTCCCCCGACGGCCGACCATACCACGATTTAGAGGGTGTGGTCTCTCAGTCTCAAGTCAAGGTCTAGGCTCAACATGCTCAGCTCAAGCGAGTATCTGACGATGTCCGAAAGCTCGCAGGTTGTTTAAAAACTGGTCTAGATCTAGAGGTCTAGAGGGGTCTAGATTTACTCACCTTCCAAGGCCCTTAATTGAAGCAGGTCCTCTCTTCAACAGTGCTGCCCTCAGCTTTATAACACTTGGATCCTCAGACATTTTTCGGCAGATTTTAAGAACAACAATATCAAAAGTTAGAGTACCTGGTGGGATCATCAACAACAAATTCAAAATGGTTAATGTCGATATTGATACGCGTCGATCGATTGATATAGCGATAGCGTTAGCATACAGCGCATGCGCAAGCAGCGAATTTTGATGCACGCGTACAGTACGTACGCGCGCACGTAATGATGGAATATAAAGTTGACGATAGCTTCAACTCTGCCTTCAAATACCTATGAGTCAAAGCAACTTTCCGTTTGGTGGTGTTCATGGACTTGGTGTAATTCTGACTACGAAAAGAAATATTCAATTTTGTGTCAATTATTAGGGTAATTATTAAACAGATTAAATCCGAAACAGTATTTTGGTTAAAGATCAGCGAGAAGGCATTGGTTTTCCTTTTATAGGCTACATGGTGCTGTTTCCTCCTTAAAATTCTAAATATTGCAATGAGTCTATGTTTGATGATATTGCTTCTGATTTTCTCATGTTGAAAAATGTAGGGCCATGCATTATGGTTCAAGGCATGGCCACACAGAGAAATTTTTCCTGTTGGGGGCGGGGAGGAATTGCAAAGAATTTTTGACAATTTATTGCATTTTCTTCGTTTTGGGGGATTTGTGGGGGCGGCCGCGTTCCCTAGCAAACACTGCGTACAGTCATGATTCAGGGGCTAAGCAATGGCCTCGTTACTGTGAGGCCCCAGGATAAAAATCGTGTCGATCAGCTATATAAGTGCCCTTATGTGAGGCATTAATCCTCATTACTGTTAATTATGATTTAAGGACGTAGGTTCCCTAGCTGATTAGCATAGTAGCACACATATGATTTAGCAGTCACGCAAAAGAAACACTCGCAAATCAATATTCAATAAAATCTGAGAATGTATGCCATTATCTAGATCTATTAGAAATAAATAATTTTTTAAAATCCTTCCCTAAACTGGGGTAAAAATAATTATTCCACCATTATGACCAACAGTGTATATGGATGCCCCTGTGGATGAATTATAAACACTGACAATGTTAGCCCCTAAAACACTTCTGCTTTCGAGCAAATTGAATAATCAAAATTTACTGGTGCTCCCGGTAAATTATAATTTTTTTTAAATAGCGCCTAAGGTCATTCCATGGTGGCTGTGACCATGACAATCTCAGAATATGCTGTTCTAGTATATAATTTCCAAACGGAAATAGCAAATCGGTCGATTGTAGTCAAGAAACATTGTTTAAAAGCTAAAGTAATATCACTCTTGAGAGGGCGCTATACAACATAAAGAGTTTATTATTTACTTTAGACTTGATTTCAACGGCGACAACGATCATTGAATATTGTAAAATCGCATATGCTTCCAATGTTCATTTGAACCAAATTAATGACCCCATACCAAAACTTTGTAATACCTTTAAATTGAATACATCTACATCAATAGATGCCAATGACTCTGATACATAATCTGTTCAGGCTGTATAACATGAAATGAAATAAAACTTTAAACTTTGATTTTTGAAATGTTCAATCACAGTATGTTTGTTCTTACAGAGGCCTGCCACAAGAATGGACACGGAAACCGAAGATGTAAAAAAAAAAAAGGTGTAAATTTCAAGTTCATACTTACTTTCACAGAAAATATATACATGCTAGTAAAATCCGATATATACAAGTAAATCAGTATAGCTGGTATTCAAGTCTTCATGGCTAGCACCAAGTCAAAATGAAGAATGAGAAAAGGAGGTACATCTCGAATCTATAGTCAGATACATATTTTGGATAACAATTTGGAACTTAAATGATCGTGTCTACAGGTTAAGATATTACTTACATTTATAGATTATCAAAAAAACAAAGTGACACATTAGTAGCAAAGTGTTCATGTAACTTGAAACAAGAGGCAGTCATCATTACTGGAAACGAGGCCACATTCATAACACTGAGCCGCAGTGCACTTTCATATGTCCTTTATTTACATAGAACAATTGTTTTTTACCTCCCCTTATGTACACTTAAATCTTGCTTCTTCAATTTCTTCAATTTTCCAACAGAAAATCTATAATTTATTAATACCGTTATTAATCTTGTTTATCTTATATCTTAATTTTAGTCTCAGGAATCTCAGCAGGAAGGAAAGAGAAAGAGGAAGAAGGGGAAAAAAGCTGCGAAAAAAGAGACAGATGAGGTCAATTTACTTTCCCTCAACAAAACTATGGCAGCAAACGAGAATCGAAGGTGGAGGTACTTGAAGAGATTCTCACTACCCTTCAAGGAATTCATGGGTGCCTGCAGATATTGACTGCCACTCCCCAATCTACAGCTGCAGATATCCTAACCCGAATGCATGCTGATCAGTAGACATTATAATGTCCTGTCCTGCTACAGGCATTAATATATCACATGCTCAAAGTGTATATTACGAAAGAAATCTGCAAATATATATAAATAAAGAATGTTCAACATTTTGAACCCATTTTATTGTGTGTTTAGTATCTCCTTAATTTGGAATAATACTTAAATCTTAAAACTTAAAATCTCTTATTTTCAAGTTTAATATGGTTTAACATTATATCTTCATAACATGTTCATATTCATTATACAAACATGTATTACCTTTTTTTCATTGAACCTTTGAAGATAATATTTACAGTATATAAAAGACAAATAGTTTACATACAAATCCCATTGCCACCTTCAATGTTCAAGTAAATCAAAATAAGACATGGATATGTTCAATACGTAGACTCTGGGTCATATACCATCCTCAATAAGCAATGCATTTCTAAGTACTTTAAAAATAGAAAAGCAATGTCTCTGGATATAGCAGATTTCAAGTAAAGCATCTGGCCACTAGTTGAGCTCGTGCTGCAATAGGGACTTTTAGATGTGCGTGGACTGATACGTGTGGCGTCCATTCAAGGCAGTGCATTACAAGGACGTCGATCGTAGCAATCCCCATTGTCTTCATGCGAATCTAAAAGTCCCTATTCCCTCATTGTTGACAGGACCATCAAAGTCATCAACACCAACATCAGGAAGCTCATGGTCTCGTCCAAGATAGGGTTCTTTCCAGTCCTTTGATAACCGGTACAACACGGTGCACGCAATGATGATCTGGCATGCCTTCTTTGGTTTTACTCTTAGGCCTCTTCTCAGACAAGGGAATTTCTTCTTGATCTGTCCATTAGTCTGTTCAACAACTACTCGTCCTCTCATGTGAGCCCTGTATTGCAAAAAATGAAAAAATAACCAATAATTATATTCGTATGATATCGGATACACTATCAAATAATTTTCCATAATTGACATAATATTTTTTAAATAGATTGTTGATATTTATGTGGCAGCACTGCAGGATCTCTTCCATTTGAATTTACTATGCCATAATTTTTCAGAAAACTCTACATTGTAACATATTACATCAATCAAAACAAGTCGTTGATGGAGGAAGGCAATGCAACTACATTCATCTATTTTTTTAATGAAGAAGATGTACTACATAACACTGCAGTATAGCAGTGGTAATAATTAAGCAGGCCAAGGGTCATATACATGTAATATGAATCACATTGTATAAATCAAAAATAATCTTATACACGAACATAGACCTACAAACATGTATAATATATGGCTGTAGGACAAGCGACCCCTGACAACTCCCCCCCCCCGCCAATTACCAGCGTGACAATTACCCCCTATAAAATTACCCCCCCCCCCTCCCACCAGTAAAACCACTTCCCAAGGACAATGACCCCCTATCAAATGAAGAAAAAAAACCCTACCCTGGAAAATCACTTCCCAAGGACAATTACCCCCTATGAAAAAGAAAAAAAAAACCCTACCCAGGAAAACCACTTCCCAAGGACAATTACCCCCCCCCTCCCAGAGGAAAATTACCCCCTATGAAATGAAAAAAGGGGACAATTACCCCACAAAACGTCTGCTTTTATCAAAACGAAATAATCCCTTAAAAAAGTACCATGGTAACCATGCCTTTTTAAAATGGTTATCATGGTACCAAAACAATGAAATACATGGTGGATGGTAATTTGGTACTTTTTTGAAGGGATTATCAGGGTAGGCTTCCAAGGGAGCTAGGGTTGTCCGGGGGGGGGGGGGGGATAGATTTTGGGAGGGGATGGGTAATTTTTCAGCGAGGGGAATTTGACTTTGTGGTGATTTTCAAGGGGTGGCGGTGTGGTTTCCTTGACTTGATTTGATTTGATTTATTGGTTTCTGCATCTTTTTTTCTTTTCTTTTTTTCATCATACATTTTCATTAACATAATATGGTTTGATATTTTAAGTGTATAATTTTATACAGATAATAAACGAAATTAAAAATATATATATTGAATGCATTATTAAGTAAATTAGATGCAGGAGGGCTACAGAAATAAGCAAAGTAGCTTGACGGGGGGGGGGGGGGGGTCCTGGTGATTGTCCAGAGGGTAATAGGGTCTACGGTATGTATGTATTTTTTTTTTATTCCAACGGTTAAAGTATATGATTTAGGCCTAATTCAATTTAGTAACATAGATTCACCTATTGTAGGTACGTTCAGCATGTGTTTGGGGGTTGCGGAAAGGGGTCATGAGCCATGATCGTTGGGGGTAGCCCGAGTCACTGAGGAGAACTCCCTCCAATTCTTCACGCTGGAAATCCTGCCCAACATATAGGAATTCTCCAATACTCTGCAGTCATGGACAGACCCCGGCCAGCATGCACTGACGTTGATTATGTTGTAAGTGACAAATTGCACATTGATGCTATGCCACCCCTTTCTATTGACGTACGCATACTCGGTTGTCTTTAGTGGACTGCCGTCAAGCCATACATGAGTACAGTCGATGACTCCGACGACCATCGGGAAGCCACTCAACTCCAAAAATTCCATTTGCTTGCCTCCATGTTACTACCTGTTCTTTCAAACTAGCAAGCACCTTTGTCACACGATTAATTATTCTACAAACAGTTGAAATTGAAACACCATGATCTTTCAGTACACTGGAATAAAAATCTGAGGTTGCGTAAAAGTTTAAAGCAACGAAAATCTGCAACCTCGCATCAATAGAATGACTCCTCTGAGTCAACGGCGCAATTCTCTCCTCCAACAAGTCAATAACTCTCATCACACCCTGTCGCGTAAACATATAATATTTGTGCATCTTTTTATCGTTTAATGTATCCAATGGATTAGTCCTATCCCTAAAAACACGCTCTCTATTAAGTGCTCTCGCGTTATTTATGTAAAGAAGGCGAGCCATGATTAAAATACCTTGCAAAACAACCGAAATCCTCCATACACCGTACCGGTGTACAAAAACTTATAAAATTTTTCGCGCCAGTATTTGACCTTGAGACAGGAAGTTACGTTTTTGAACACATCGCAGCTCTGCGAGCACCCTTTGAGCATGCTTTGAGCATCCGCTAAGCTGCGATAAGTTTAATAGCGACGGGTTAACCCGTCGCAGGCGCTTAGTGAAATCCAAAAGCAACTCATCGTCCATGTGCGATGGGTTCGGTGAGGTTGCGATGGGTTCAAGCCCTTGCGCAGGGTTAGCGATGCATTGCGCGCGTTAGTGAAATCCTCCCCAGGGATGAGTTCAATATTTGTTTTTTCTCTTTATGTCCAAGATACTGTTTGAGCATCATGTACTTTGCAGTTGGGTGTGATGGTATGAATATTTATTTGCGAGCGAGCGAAGCCAGACAATTTTTGAGATTTTGTGAGGTTGCAGTGCCAAAAAATTTCATCTCATAAAGCGGAAAAAAACAATCCTGATGGGGTTTTAGGCACAATCTAATCATGAAAGACTGAAAAGATCTTTAATAATTAAGAAACATAATTTTATCAACTTAAAATACGAGCGAGCGTAGCGAGCCAGATTTGCGTGAAATTAAAGAAAAAGTTGCTTAGCCTATGCCACATCAACTTCCGGGTACAACTTTCTGAAAACAGCAGGAAACTAACTGAAGGGTCGAGCCATTAAATATCCAGGGTGAGTAGGAAGTTTTCAGAATAAAGACCCTCCCCCCCCCCCCCACATGTAAACACAAATTGTCTACATGGACATTCAAACATTGGAAATTAAAAAAGAGAAAAATCACCCTGGTTAAATCCCAGGGGGGGGGGGGGATGAAGGAAAAAAAATCAACCCCCAATAAAACCCTAATCCAACTTCCTACTCCCCCCAGGGGATGATTTCACTAATATTGCCTAGCGATTAATCGCCTAACCCATCGTTCGAACTCTAGGCTACTCATCGCAGTTACGAAGAGTAGAGTCAGAGGATTTCACTAAACCCGTCGCAGCAGCGATGCAGTTTTAATCTATAAAACTTCTTGAACGAGGATGAGTTCATAATCATGATTTATTTTTAGATTTTAGTCCGCGACTTTGGTGTGCAATAATTATTGATGATCTTCGGGTGATATCTGAGATTTTACCCACCAAATGGAAGGACCCCCCCCCCCCCCTGGATATCTATTAGAGTGTCCCTTATAGACACAACTTTTAACTTTTAAAGCCAAAACCCTAAACATGGGTTGCGTTTTGAATGGAAGTCCCTAATAATGGGTACCATTTTCTGACACTCAGTTGAATGACCCTTAAAAATGGGTTTGGGTTTAGACGCTTCAGCCGTACACCCCCGCTCAAACCAAATCTGGGTATATCGGACAGGCTAGGGATATCAGTTACGCCACATATTATATACCTATATCGCCCCTCATTCATTTTTTTGTTGTTGCTATTTTGCTCTCTGCTTCTGAATCCTGCTTCCAGCCATGGGGAGATTTTGGAGGGTCAAAAGTGCACACTACTCCCATTTTTCATGTCTTAGCCTATGGAGACGACAAATTGCTTATGAATAAACATTGCCCTCCAATATCGTCCTTCATATTGGACGAAACTCCCATAATGCATCCAATGTAAAACCTATGGAATGCCAAAGGTTACAATTTAGCTGCCCCTCTAGTCCTCTTGTGTATGTATATGATCGAATCTCTTTGCAAACTCAAGTAAAATGCGCCCTCTTTGGCTTTCGGTTCCAAGTTTCAGCCACAAACCAACCTCACTGTTTTTGTCATCATAATACAAAAATAAATGAAAAAACCCTATAATTACTCCTAATGACGTTTTTCTTCTATTTCTACAGATTAAGAGTTTTCTGTTCGCGTTTTGGGCGAATAAATTCTGACTATTAAAGAAAAATAATCTAACATTTTGATCGCTTCTTATTTTGATCACAAAGTCTTCTCAGGGGACCGTCCGCTTTCGATACGGTTGCAAAAAGTAAGAGCAACTTGTAATCTTTCATGAAAATCTTATACGTACTTTACTATATAAACATAAATTTGTATTCACCATTTTGTCTGAATTTGTTGGTTCTTTTTCACTATTACTATAATATCGTCAGTTCACCTCTTCTAAAAGAATTAAAATAAGTAGAGTAGCACATAGCAAAGTAACGATATGTTACACTGTTTCTCATGATAAATTTTACAATTTAAAGTTTGTTTTACGAGTTTTACATGGGTAAGATGTTTAAAATATGCATGTGTTATATTTCCAATAGCCAATTTTGTATACAGTGATTAATGTAATAACGCATTTTCATTATTATTTACTGCCATGAACTCCCTATCCATTAAAAAGAAACCAACAAACAAACAAAAAGACACCAGTGGATGATTTATCTATCCAAGTTACATGTTCTAAATTTAGTGAGGACGCGAAGCGGGCTACCAAAAAGATTTTGGTAGAAATTTTTAAAATTTTATTATGGCAATGCACTAAACAATTTTTTTTAATAGATGCAAAAAAAACCATCTCAAAGCCCAAATTTGAGATAACGATTTCAAAAATATTGGATATTTCATTTATTTGTCGGGAAGAGTGGGGGAGCACCTTTAAAGGAGTAGGTTGGTACCATGGAAGTACTTTATCATTCCAATGTAATTCCTTCGATGCTATATCTACTCTAAGATAATGTTATTATCATCATCATCATCATCATTATTGCATTAGGCTTATTCAGGCGGATGGTGTGTGTGTGTGTGTGTGTGGGGGGGGGGGGTTATCTCTCAAACCCCCATAGCCTCTCTTTTGGACGATTTTGATATCGCATGTCAGATTTTGCACCAATTTCTAAACCTCTTAGGCCGATATGAATTGGGGATATGCAATAATATACAACCTTGCAATGTCTTAATACGGTGCATTTTTGCATCACATGCAAAGAGCGTTACCAACGTCAGGTATAGTAATCGTTAAATAGGAGAGTAACTAAACGTCCACCGTTAGATCATTTTGTCTCTTTGACTATGATTACGGTATGTTTCTTCCAAATGAAATAATATTTTGTTGCGAGAGAGAGAGAGAGAGAGAGATGGAGGGGGGGGGGGGGGTACTTGCTCTTCAACATAGCCAAGTAGGGCCAGGCGCGCCGGAAGCATTTTGGGATGGGGGGGGGGGGGGCAAACCTTCCAGGGGGACTCACCTTCAAGGGGGCAGTGACGTAATGAGCAAAAACGTTTGGAAGGGGAGGGGGCAGAAGAAAAATCTGCATCACCACCACTCTTACACGTTACATGCAGGCCCCGCGGAAAGTTTTTCAAAGTGGAGTATTAACGATCAGGTAGAACGTAAATTGCCGTGGGGTCCAGGGCCGGAGCCTCGGCAGGGGGTCAAGGGGCTGAGCCCCCGTAAGCTCAGGGTTTTTAGGCATTAAAATACGGTCAGATGAGCATCCAGGGGCCCTCTTTAAGCCATTGATGTGGTCCAGGGGGCAGAGCCCCGGAAGCTCAGAGGTTTTAGTGTTTGACTACGGTCAGATGAGCATCCAGGGGCCCGCCTTAGGACCCTTGGTGGGGTCCAAGGGGCAGAGCCCCCGGTTGCTCAGGGGTTTTAGGTATTTAATTACGGTCAGATGAGCATCCAGGGGACCGCCTTATGGCTCTTCCTGGGGTCCGAGGGCAGAGCCCCATTAAGCTCTGTGGTTGCAGGCATTTAATTACGGTCAAATGAACTTCCAGGGGACCGCCTTAGGGCCCTTGGTGGGGTCCGGGAGCGGAGCCCCCTTAAGCTCTGGGGTTTTAGGCATTTAATTACAATCAGATGAGCATATTATTTTGATACCTCATTTGTGACATTGGCAGGTCACTTATTTTTTTACTCTCTCTCTTTCTTTCTTTTTCTCTGTAACATGCTCTTTCAAAAAGTGAGGGGGGGGGGGGGACTCGAGCCCCCGAGCCCAGTCGTTTTACAGACCATGACATAAAGGCTTCTAAATTTTAAAAGCATATTTTTCGCCCGACTGTAAATTTGGGATTTCTAATTTTCCAACAAACGCAAAAAAGTATGACTTACAAAAAAATAGAGAAAAAATACCGGAAAATCATGTCATTTTAGCAACATTTGTAAATCACTGGTATCGAATAAGAAATACCCCCCCCCCCCCGCCCATCAGTACACCAGTGTTCAGGGGCTCATGTCTTCTAACCCTATAACAAAAAACACACGCTTTCCCATTCTCTCGCAATATGTCCACGATATGCGCGTATCGCTATTATAAAAACCTCCATTGATAAATATAGGTGGGATGCGCAATGTTTAGGAAATGTTATTCCTGTCAACTTTCCTTTTCTTTGAATTGAATTTTAATTCAGGTTTATATCATTACTATTTTATTAAAATACAAACCATCTATACTCTTTTACTTTTTTTTTTTTTTAAAGGGGGGGGGGGGGCGTTTTTTTTTTTTTTTTTTTTTTTTTTTGGGGGGGGGGGGAGGGGGGGGGCAAAAATGCCCCCTAACCCTAACCCTAACCCTAACCCTAACCCTAACCCTAACCCTAACCCTAACCCTAACCCTAAACCATGCTCTGCTGTTCAGGCGCGAGGCCTGCTTTGAACACTCCAATTTTTTCAAAGTAAACGTTCCGGCCCCTCTGCCCCCCCCCCCCCACTTCCAGCGCCTATGAATAGGGCCAAGGGGCCATGCTCCATCTCGTTCATCCGCTAAAAACGGTAATCCAAGAAACTTGAGGGAGAAGACCTTAATCCTACCACAGCTCCAGAAGTTTGGAAGTGCTTTTGTATCTCACCCCCCGGCCCCCGCCCACCATGTTTAACATGTATGTCTACGCCACGCCAGCGCCTATAAGGCCTAAAATAAAAACTTGTTGTATTGCCCTTTTTTTTTAAACTTTTTTTTTATGTTGTCCTCTTTGGGCCGATATTTTTCAAATTTGAATGTTTTTTTTTTCTTTTTTTTTCCCCGCCTTCTTTTGCCAGTGACTGATATTTCTCAATTTTTAATGCTACAGTACATGTGTTTCAGCGTCATCATTTCTTTGATATCTTTTTTACCTCATAATTATCCATGGTTTGCACGAGTGAGAATTCTGGAATAATTTGATTTTTTGCATTTATATCCCACTTAAGCAACAAAATACATATTGTTGTATTCATTGATAAAAATAAATCTAAAAAACGGTAAAAAAATTAAAATGCCGACCGTAGATTTTCAGATTCTTGGGTCGGTCGCAAAGGGCAATACAACAAGTTTTTATTTTAGGCCTAATATTAAAAACGAAACAAAGTAAAACAAGATGAGACAGATTACTGTACAGTCCCCACTTCTCACAAACAAAATACGTAAACTTCAGCTTATCTACAATGTGTCAAATCCATTATATATACATATAATATAATATATTACATATGAATTCGGCCTCGACTTGTATCAGCGTACAGGATCAGAGAAAAAATTGACAAAGGAAAAGAGGAAACGTAGAAGCATTATTACACAAGCTGACTGTTTACAATGAAAGAAAGAAGAACACACTTTCCTTCAAAGATTGAAATTTGGAATGCAGAAACATTGGTATTTGTTTATGAAATTTGTTGAGACGCTTTTAATATACTTCAACCTATAAAAAAAAAAACATGTATTCCATCACAGTACCGTATTTACAAATGTTCTTATTATTTCTGACTTCGGGTTTATGTTTATTCTTTGCGTCTAATCCGATGAGGGCAAGATGAAAAGCTTTAGTATGTCTGTTTTCGTTGCTATTTACAAATATCTATAAATCGAAAGACTTCACTATTTTCAAGATATATTTTTGATACATTTCACCTTAGGAGTCTATACTACTCAAAGTATTTCGAATTATTTTTTTGTTTCGGTCAGAGGCATGCAATTTCTTGTTTCTCAATCTTGCAAGTGAGCATCGAGAGAAATTTTGAATCATTCATAGAAATGTTATTTCATCAACATATACTAAACTGGAAAATAATCCCAAATTGTCTCTTGCTTCTGTGTTCAAAGTGGTCTCAGTGTATCTTTAGCCCGCCCTGCTTGCACTTATAACTTCCGATACGGAATTTCTAACGACTCCACTTTTCCTCTCTTATTTTATTCAGTTAGTGTTTTTGTGTTTTTCTTGTCGTCCTGGGCTCTGTAACTATTATAAAGAGTTGCGGTTGATTGAAATCAATCACAACTTAAATTTAATCGCAACTGTGTAGTTAGTAGTACTATTGATTCGAATTAATCGCAACTCTTTATAAAACGGGGCCCATGCCATTCACATGTTTATCCTTTTCTACATCGTCGCCGATTCGAAATTTTCATACATGATTCATTTCCTGACTGTTCTAGTAGTAATATATAGTATATATAACTTGCTGATGACCATTCTATCTAAGCATACTACATGTACAATTAAAGTTCCACCTTTATCCATGCATGTTGACAATTTCTAAACATTCTTAAAAAGAAAAGGATAGTGTAACGATGCATAACGCAAGTGTGTCATGGTCTAAACAGGAAGACCAATGCCCGTAACACACGTGGTGTCATTTTGAATGCCACATGAAGCCCATTAAAGGAAATACAAAATATGGGGGTATATTTCAACAGAATTGGATTATGAAATTTGAAATTTGCATTAACATTGTAAAAACCTAGTGTTAAAATGAGCAACTTTGACAAGATTAGGCTCTAAAATGCTAAGGATTTCGAGAAATTAAAATATCAATTTATCGGTGCTCCCGATAAATTTCTAAAAGCGCCTACGGCCATACAATGGTAGCTGCGACCATGAAAATCTCGAAATATGCGGTTATATAATTTGCAAACGGAAATAGAAAATTGGTCAATTTTAGTCAAGAAACATTGTTTTAAAGCTAAAGTAATATCAATCTTGAAGGGACCTTTACCAGGACTTTTACAACATAAAGAGTTTATTGTTCACAATTTCTTCACTTTAGACTCGATTTCAACCGCGACAACGATCATTAAATATTGTACGATCGCATATGCTTCCAATATGTTCATTTGAACCAAGTTCATGACCCCATTCCAAAACTTTGTATTACCTTTAAACTTATAAAGATTATTAGTCCATAACCAGTAATTCAATGCAATGCTTGCATTGTTCATTTGGCATTCACTTAAGTAAGATTCTCAAGTCGCTGACGCAATATAACGTCAGCAAATGCTGCATCGTGCCGCATCGTGTGCATCAGAGTAGATTAAAAGCAATTAAATGAGTATCTCTCTATTATCTACTTGATTAAACTTCATAGAAAGGTTACGCTAGTTCACGTCGCATAGGTGTTGTGTGCAAAAATATAGAGTCTGTCTTGAGAGCAGAATGCGATCTCCCCGGACAAGAACTGCTGAAGATGATCAGGGAAAGTGTAGTTAGTCTCCTGTTTCGGCAACTTATACTCCGAGATGAGCGTCTCGATGTGCGTCAATTCCCGCGTGTAGCGATCTATGGTGACGTAGCCGTCTTTGTTGCTCACCCAGGCTACGATGAGTGTTTGATCAAGACACACTGCAGGGTAAGCACACACGTCTCCTTCCTTGCTGATAGATTTCTTTGGTCGACCGGTGTCATCGGTCATATCGAGGGTTAAGATGAAGTCGGTCCTTCCTTTGACCACCATCAGCTTGTCGACTTTGAGATGGAAGAGTTGGATGGGGAGATGGTTGGTGCATTCCAGCTCTCGAAGAGCCTTCCCACCTTCAGGTAAGAACTCCTGGATCTTCATTGCCTTGGTGTACCCTACGAATATGTGATCGTAGCCATTGACTGTGACCGAGCCATCGCCTCCTTTCTCCTTGCTTAATGTCTTGAACGGCTTCACGTCCAGTTTCTCCAGTTTCAACTCCATGAGCATGTAGGTGGTCAGGTGGTTTTTCTTGTCAAGTATGGCGAAACGACTTTCGGTCATGACAGCCATGTCCTGGATTGTAACGCCATTGAGGTTGGTCATCTGCTGGTGACCATCAGGAGTGCAAATGGCAACACCTCCTTTTCGGAAACCCACTGCCATCCTTCCATCTTGCATGGTTGCCATGGTTTTCATACTGGCCTTGATCAGGGGCACATCATGCATGACAATCCATGGCTCATCACTTTCTACAAGGTCCAGTTCTGTTAAGCCCCTTATAGACTTTCTCTTGAATCGCGGCACTGCCGTATCTTTCTGTACTTTACTTTCCTCGGACTCACCGATCTTACAGTTCTCAAGCATTTCCTGAAACTGTTTGCAGCATATTCCGTGCGCCGTTAATTCAGCATGAGATAACCGAACACCTACCGCTTTCTGAACCGATTCCAGCACAGTGTCAATGATATTGATCTGTGCATCATTGTCAGTCTTTCTACCCTCGAGTAGTTCATTGATTGCTTGTTCCCTCTGCTCATAAAACCTGACACGCGAATCCCTTTCTTGTTCTAAGATTTGTACCTTTTCCTTGAAGTCCTCATCGACCTTCGCAATAGAGTCTCGAGCCACTTCCGCCGTCGATGTTTGGCGTTCCTCGATGAATTTCCCAAAAGATATCATCCAGTCTTTCGTTTTGTTTGCCTTCGTCACCAACTTGGTAATCTCTTCGTCTTGGGTGACCTCCTGATCGCGAGCATTGATTGTAGTGTGCTCCACATGCTTATTGATGACGCAATAGTAACAGACGTACGTCCTGCAGTCAGAACAGAAGAAATCTTTGGCATCGGGATTATGCTTGATACAGGAGCTACTAGTTTTGCGCCTGGTGGCGGAAGTGCCTTCGGACCTACGCCGAGATGAAGACGAAACACGTCTTTCTGTCTGACATCCTACTTCAATACCACTGCTAGGAGGCCTCGAGTACTCTTTCAACTGTTCATCTACCACCTGTTCTGTTTGACATCCTCGTTCTTCGATGCTATCATGTACTTTCTGCACCGTCATCGGATCAATTATTGCAATGGGTTTGGCGTCATCCATCCTTCTGCACTGTCCGTATAAGGTATCTTCCATGCCGAGATGATTTGGAAGGGTGTACGAAGCCGTTGTCTCTTCCTTAAGTGCCGACTCTTGGGACATGACGTGTGCTATCTAGCTGGCTTGCTTAAGGATCACCCAAGACTTGGATTGACAGCAATATACCTATGGAAAAGGAAAACAGAGACGCAAATAATGAATAAACATTCCTCATTACAATCTGAAGAAAGATGTTACTGAATACTTTTCGTCAATATCTTATAATGGTTATGAATTCAACTAATTTTCTAATATTCTACAAGCCGTTATCAAGCCTAAAAGGCTTTCTAAAAGACTACTATCGCATGTCATCATGTAAAAAAAAATGGATCATCAAGGGTCTGAGGGCATTACGTGTACCACGTACAATACTTTTTGTTTCCTATTTTATTATTATTTTCTGACTGAGTAGAATGACCGATTCGAGAATGTGATCCAGTCAAGAAGACACATCAAAGGTAGATATTTTGCATCTTATGCCCACTGCATACGAGGCCTTATTTCCAATGATTTAAAGATAAGATTCCACTCCGATCTATAGTATATGGCACTTTACGGACAACACTATATATTTACACAGTAGGCTTGCGGGTGCACCATGTGAGAGAGAGAGAGAGGATTGAGACGTCCTAAAAAGGACTCTGACTCGGTAATCTTTCTTGGGGGTGTGTAGTCCTGAAAAGGTCTGTTTGTTATCTTTTTTTCAGGACTCCTCAATCCTCTCTCTCTCTCTCTCACATGGTGCACCCGCAAGCCTACTGTATATCTACATCACCATGCAAGCCGACACTTACAAGCAACACAACATATTATGTTTACTACAGACTGTTCATTTTATATTCACTTAAAGATTAAGCTTGAGTTCTAGTAGTGATAGAAAATAAATTCTCACAGAAACCATCAACACTGAATGTTCAAGATTACAAATAAATGGCATGTGCCAAACGATTTTGGTAGAAAATGTATAGGGGCTGAGTAATGAGCGTAGAAAGATAATGTAATCAAGGTACTAGTAGCCCCGATACCATGTGCTTAATACAGGTCACTATGGGCAAATGAGAGTTGTGGTCTTTATTGAAGATGATTTGCAGCAAGTTTTGTTTTACTGGTTAAAATAATCAATCTACTGCAGGATTAACAATCCAGAATTAATTATAGCCATGTTCTGTCGACATACGATTCACATACCAGAGCTCAAGATTAGCTTTATACTTTGTGCTATGTCACGTTCACATGACACGACTCGTCAAAAACGATGCCAGCTGATGACGCAGTGTCACGGCAGCCATTAACGCAGTCATACGTCAGGCATTAATGTAGTCTTACTTCAGACATTAGCGCAGTCTTACGTCAGACATTAATGCAGTCATACGTCAGACATTAACGCCTCGTGAGAAGCGGATTATTATGTTGCCAGCCATCTTCACTCTCATCTAAAATTGCAAACATTTAGATGATTTTATTCTTTAATTGGCGGAACGGCTAGAAGGCAAACTTATGAAAGTTGGAAGGTCAGCGAAGCTCTGACTTTATGTTATATGCGAGGCGTTCACGTCAGACGTATGACTGTGTTAATGTCTGACGTAAAACTGCGTTATTTCACTGGACTTAGCATATTTTACTGTAAATTAACAAGTGCTTTGTTCACACACCATTCCAGCAATTCATGACACTCCTTGTAGTTACTTGCCTCACCTACCATCCCAGTATAGCTTCCTGAGTGAGCTGCCAAAGGGATTACCCAACCAAGTACCAAGTATATTGTTATCATCAGGACGTGTAAAAGAAAAAAAATATTGAAGGATTCCACAGCTTAATTCTCAAATTGCCTCAAATTTTGATCAGTCATGTTCACTGATAGGATGCAAACAAAGATAGGATGTTTTGACAATTAGTATAAGGAAATCCGTTAGGGAGACAAGCACGGAAGTTTAGGAAGTGGCAGGTTTCTTTGGTCTATCAGCGGGGAATTTGAGGGAATTTGATGAGCTACTAAATAACCTAAAAGCTCCCAGTTGGGGCTTAAGTGGACGACTTTCGCTTACCCATTTCCCATGTATTGTGAAAAGTTTTTATTGATGACAATGGTGATGATGATGAATGATAACATTAATAACTTGATTTTGATGGTGATGATGATAATAACAACAGTAGTAATAATGCTAGTAGTAATAGTAGAAGTAGTAGTAGTAGTAGTAGTAGTAGTAGTAGTAGTATTAGCAGGCGCGTACGCAGGGGGGGGGGGGGGTGGGGTGGGGTGAAAATGGATGTGAAAAAATGAATAATCCTAACCCACTGAGCGAAATATCGCTCGGCGCGATTTCCAAATTTTCAAACACCCTCATTAAAAAAATCCTGCGTACGCCACTGAGTAGTAGTAGTGATAATAATGATAATAAAAATAGTAATAAGTTTAATTATAATAATAATGATAACAATAATAATAATGATGATAACAATAATAATAATATCGGTTATGAAATAATGATAAATTAATTTCAATAGTAGCAAAATGTGATATTTAGGGGCACAAACAAGATGTAGGACCTTATTATCCTTAAGTAAATAATTAAATATTGGAGGGAAGAGCAAAAGTAAATACTAAATATAATAAGCAAAACAGAAATCACAGTAGATTACTTCTTTAAAAATGTAAAGGTAAGTAACGTCTGACAATCCCGGCATTCTATCCCTCGGTTAACAAAAGGGGTATTATTTACCGACGGCGTAAAATCCTATATGGCATTGTATGTCGTCTGAATTCCCTGATTTCAGGGACACTTTACTGATGGCGGAGACACCTTCCATTGAACTCGAAATTTCCATACAAACACATCATTTTTTTTTGTATTTGGCATTCAAGAGAGACGAGAGAGACGAGGGAGACGAGAGAAAGAGAGAGCGAGAGAGAGAGAGAGAGAGAGAGAAGAGAGAAATAGTGTGAGGGAGGGGGAGGGGGGTGGGGAGGGAGTGAAGAGAAAACGATATAGGACCCCATTCCACCTCTTGCCCTTTTCATATGTGTAATATTCAGAGATTTTCATCTCACTTCAATCCTTCCGCCCCTTCTCTCCCTCCCTAAGAAAATCCTGAGCCTGCCCCTGCAGTTTGTCTGTATCGGCCCGAACTTTGAATCAACATTAAGTTGCTTTGATATTCACAAAAATGTCTAGTCTAGTGTAACTCTAGAAGTACGGCTATTCACAACAAGAACAATGATTTCAGAAAACCGTTAAAGCGCGCGGGGAAAAATTAGCTTCGTTCGGTCTGTTTGGGGATTTCCAATGCTTTTCATGAAGCTTTTTCTTATAAAGCTTGTCAACTCGGGGATTGTGCTTCGAGTACAAAATGGACATTTAGGATGAGGATAACGAAGTGTTTATATAGCTCGTGGACCCGTTTTGAATAAACTTCTAAGCTCTCAATTTTGATACTGCAGAACGAGTTCTAAAAAATCAATCTAGAAATAATATTGATTAAGTACATTCCTTTCAGAAATCGGTTCGGGGACATTCAATTTCATATCACATATTTGTCGCATCTCCTATGAAATGGAAAATAAATATGTTCTCATATATTTCTGTCAATTCATTTACCAGTTGGTCACCAGTAGCCCATGATTCGTTTAATCTATGCATGGCATTCCCACAGTAATAGCAACAGAATTAAAGTACACTATATATCGGATTCTCCCAAATATATGTTTTACCTTGCATTTCATTTCTATTTAGAACCAATACAATACAAGAAGCCATACAATGTAGATTAAACTCCAAAAAGTGAAATCTTTCAAAGTTTCATCCTTGTGAAGCTTTTATCAGTATACGCTGTGACCATGTTCAATGCTGTGACACAATCTATTTATTTATACTCTTATCAAAATTAGTGAGGTCGCCTCCGCTTTGTCTGTCCTTTTTCTTCCTCTTTCATAGACTGTGGTTTTAAATGTATCAAATCATAATGCTAGTGATTAAGACCTAACTGTCGCAAATAATTATGACATCCTAACAGTGGTCCTTGAAAAGTATTCAACTTTCTAACAAGAATGTTTAGAGATATCAGGGGTGTTTAAGCTGTAGGAGTCATAATTTTGAGAATAGTAGCCTAGCAATTAGAGTATATCGCATAAAAAACAAACATTAGAGGATGGGTATCATAAAAAAAAATATATGTTAGGGTTGTACACCCCCGCCCCCTTAAAAAACCTTTCTCTGAACAATTAATATTTCATGTAGAAAAGAATCGAAGCAACACTTTGAAAATTCGACACCCGAAGTTGAAAAACGAAAACATAATATTTTGACTACTCACCAAGGAAAGGTCTTCCAGAATGACTTCATACCGTCAATTCGGTCATGTGAATCTAATGTTCCTATTCATCCTATTATGGATTCTTTGCCCTCGTGCACAATATGTATGATTTGGGTATAATAGGTTGGAAAGGGTGCAGTGCTTATAACTGGCAATTGGTATATTATTAGTTCAGATTATGGACGATAGAATTGTCCATATGTGATATACAGATCTCTGATAAGATGTTTAAAGGCATCGTTTTAAATCTGAGATGCATGACCCTACGTGTTATTAGTGTCTGTGATATGGAGTAATATTGAAGCCCGAAACAAAACGCGCTCCAAATTGATCATGAAGTGCCTACAAAAAGGTAAAAATCTTTAAGTGACTGGTTTTACCATACTCATTTTTCCCAATAGACTGTAATGTTATAAAAAACCGTTAGGAAAACGATTTAAAAAAAAAGATTTCAATCATTCTAATCATAAATATCTTGATAATCAGACAGGCTATCGGCTTGTAATTCCTGACTGACCTAAAAGTTTATAATTAAGATTGCCGCAGCATGAGCTAAATCTGAGGCAATATTAAAGCCCTAACCCAGTACGTAATTTTTATGATTTCAACATGAAAAGTTGATAAACGACGGCCTGCATGTTGACTGCAGTGGTATTTCATTTGATATTATGGGCAAACGTATTTTCCCTTTCAAGTTTGTAATACAGACCTCTGAATTGAAACTAACGCTCCTTCCGTATAGAAGCAATATATAGTTCAACGTACTCTCTGCGAATGAAGATAATTTCAGGTTGGCGGGTATTATTGCTGGTGTGTGGTGCATGTGGTAAACTTTGTAAGTTTCAGAAAGGCCAATTATGTACAGACAACACTACCATACTGGCGATATACATACATACATACGATGTTTATATATAAGATCGGAAGATATCATGTATCAACACGGTTTAGGAACTATACAATTATTGACATCAATGGTCCAGTTAACTTCTCCGCATAAAGATTGGAAGCCATTCAAGATATTCTCAACTGTAATATACCACGGCTACATCAATGTACGGTTGAGCAAGTTTTACAACACACAATATAACACAAACTACGGGAAACTCACCAGTTAGGATAGAGAAATAGGCCTCATTCAGCTTACGGTAATTGAACGCATTGGATAGATCCAGCAATAACGTCTCTTCTTCCAACAATAGTTTTAACTCTTACAGTCACAGAGGAATCGCGTGTCGAATGTGTGAAGAGCAACGCCGAGTGTGGATCCACAAATCGTGGCTGTTATTACAGCGAATAACAAAACGGACTATTCGGAGACTCAATATGACTTCCTCGTATATTTCTCTACACCTATGACGGTCTGGATATTATACCAAGAACCGGTGCAGCTATAGTGCTGCCAATGTCAATGCAAACTTTTTGTGCCCGGGCAAATAAATACAATTGCGGTTTCTCACTATCTTGGTGAAGTTGGCAAATACACAATAAGGGCTCACGCAGGTGAAATTCAGCCCCCCCCCCACCCCGCTCCCAAACTAACTTTATTCAATTTCCTCACAAAGCTCGATCGTCGTCTGACAAAGACAATTTTTACATTTTGAGAAACGCTCAATCTATATATTTCACATATTAAAGACAGCATGGTGAGCAGTGATGTGATATATAGGAGGCGTGGAGGGGGGGGGGGGGGGGGGGGGGGGGGGGGGGGGGGGTTGGGGGGCACATGCCCTCATGCAGTCTCATGTCGAGAAATAACAGGTTTAATAAGGTGTAAAGAGAGGCAGATCGAGTCAGAGAAGCGAGGGGATTTAAGGTACTATGTCCCATTTGCAGCAAGCCAAACAAATGAAAAGGTTAAATTCCAACAGCATTTAAGAGACAATACTAAATTAGAACTTCCCTCAAAACAAAAGGGCTTGAAAATGTCTTTAAGAGGTAAAATAACGACCATCAGTTTTCGAATCGAATTTAGTGATTGCAATCACTGAAGTATTAAATAGTCTGATGTTTAGACCCTTGCGTGAAATGGTCGTACGTTTTGTGCCACGCAAAGATTCAATCTGTATAATTTTGCGCCATTACAAGAATTGGGTTATTGATGTAGGCAAATGCTCATGTACCCTTTACTGCTCATTTTATGTATGTTATGACCAAGGAAAAAAGGGGGCAGGGGGCATAGTCCCCCTACTTTGACAAGTATCACAAAAGAGCCCCTTTTACTTTGACAAGTGCCCCTTTTCACCTTTGATAAATGCCCCTGTTATTTTGTCATGTGCCTCTTTTCCTTCGACAAGTTCCCATTTTCCTGTGTAATATCTGTACATTTTTAATCTTTAGTAAATGCCCCTTCACTTCTGATAATTTTCCCTATTAAAATCTGAAAGATGCCCCTTTTATGTTGACAATAATATTGCTCCTTTTTCTTTTCCTTTTCACACGTGCCACTTTTCATTTTTATAAGTGCCCCTTTTTAGGTGCGATGAGTGCCCCTTTTCACCTCTGATAATTTCCCTTTTTTTTACAATGGATACGTGTCCTTTTCCCTTTCATATAAGGGCACTTTCACCTTTTTATGAATGCCCCTTTCCACCTCTGATAAATGCCCCTATCAAAATTTGATTGGTGCCCCTTTTTCCGTCGACAAATGCCCATTTCCCACTCTCATAAGTGCCTGTTTCATCTCCGGTGAGTGCTCCTTTTGATGTACAGGTGCAAGAAGAGCCCGATTTTTACCTTTGATAATTACCCTTTATACTTTGACACGTGCCCTTTTCTTTTTCTGATAAGTGTCTTTATCCCTTTTGGTGTGTGTCCCCTTTTCATTTCATCATCAAACATGCTCCTTATTTGAGGCGACTAATTAGAGCAATTTCCCCCAAAGATAGCTCACTTAGCTCACTCGCATTTATAGTTAATATAAATATGTAACTTATCAAAGGTCTTTTTTAGTTATCCATGATGAGAATGTGCTTATAACCCCATCAGGATTGGGGTGTTCCTCTTTATAAGGTATAAATTTTCGCACTGCGAAGTCGTCATCATCATCAACTTCAGGTGGCGCTGTAAAGCGCTGCTGTGGTCTTCACGAGAGCACGCCATGCAACTCTCTTACCTGCCATTGTGTTGCACCTTTCATTCCTTGTCCAGACACTTTCTTGATATTGTAACGAATTTAAATATGTCTGTATCGTGTGCATAGTTCATTACTATTTCGCTATATATTATAGCTTGCTGTGCTAGTCAAACTGAGTAGAGTTACGATGTTGGTTTTCGTCCTCGAGTAATTCTGGAATTTCTATTGCGTAAGCCCAGGGCCACGCTCGTCTAGAGAGTCTGCCCTCGTCTTACATAACGGCAAGGACAGACACTCAGTCGCGTGCGACCCTAGACTGACCCTAAGCGGAGGCCAGACTTTGTCCTCAGTTTGAGGACAGACTCTGCCCTTTAGCTCGAGGTCGGGTTGTATCCTTACTGGAAGGTTGTCCGGCTAGAAAACAGTATAAATATAGCTTCCTTTATAAAGCCAGGGAGATCTAAAATCGAGAGACAGACTTCTTCTTGAGACTTCTCCTCGGGACTCCTTTCTGCCGCTTTCCAAATCTGCAGGCGTTCTGATAATTCACTGTACATGACTGTATTTAGTGCCAGTTTAGAGAGGGCACGATTTCTACCGAGCTGTCATTATTGAAAGTAATAAACGACGAATAGAACTGAAATTCACGATCGACCTACTCCATTTCTTCTGTCGCATTTGTTTTGCATACACGTATGAGTGAAAGAGATACTGAGCGAGAACTAAGAAGAGACAATTGAGAGTTCGAGAACGAGAGCAGTCTGTATTAAACAGTTGTAATAAATTTCGTTACAATATCATCAGTCCAAGGTATTGATGGACGACCTCTAACCCGTTTTCCTCCGACTGCTTCTTGCAGTATTTGCTTCTTAACACCTTCAGATCTCCTAACAATGTGCCCAAAATAGTTAAGTTTTCTTTCCATGATTTCCCTTTCTGATGGTCAAGTCTGACCTACTCTTTCCCAGGACCCACACATTTGTCTTTTTATCTTTCCATGACACCTGCAACAGCCTCCTGTAGCACCACATTTCAAAGGCACCAATTCTCTTTCTGTCATTCGTCATGGCCCAGGACTCACTTCCGTAAGTCGCAATAGAGAAAGAAGTTGCTGCGTTCGAATGCGTTCTCTTCATTATTTTGCCTGCGAAGTCACAAATGTTAAAAATGTTGCTTCGCTCCCTCGCAATTGAAAATCCGTATAGACTTACTGGCCCGAATTCACAACAGTGGTACAGAGAGATTTTGTACCATGGGTGTGGTTTTATGTTATACTTTGTGTATATACCTTCCTCGCCCCCCCCCCCCCCTCTCTTAGCTGTTACATAATATGGATTGTCAAGGGAAAGTTTATTTAGGTAGATTTTTTATAATTTAAGTTGCAAACATTTTTTTTCTGGTGGTGATTAGTATTTTTTAAATAAGCATCCCTTCACTACAATGTAATTGGAATTGATATACACATATATATGTATATACATAATACATACAGTTGATAATTATGTAATACACCATAGTGCAGTGACATTGCCCTTCGGTTGGTGTATCGAAAGTACTTGCGCCCATTTGTTTCAACACAAAGAAAGATTAAAACTTTCAAATGTTCGAAAATGTATGACTCAGGAGAGCCCTTTCTCTTTAGAGGACATACATTAATATACTACCCATAATATATTTTGAGAAGTGCCCCTAGGGAGAGGGCAATAAGGGAGTTTACAGATAGCACATGGTACAAATGACACCCAAATATCCACAGATCTTTTACACATGGAGAAGTTCCACTTTGAGCATCTTAGAATAATAACTGCCAAAGTCCTAGATGTGCTTCATGAATACCTTTTGTTTGACCTCTTGAAAAGATTACTTCCACCTGCGTATCATAGAATGTACCGTTGGTGCATATTAATGAATAATGTTACATAACTTTCATGAGCGCATATCCAGTATTCATCTCTGTGGGTTTTACCATTTTGGTACAAATGACCTTTATCTGCCAATGCGCAGATTTTATCTGTAAACTCCCTTATTAGGAGAAAAACAGAAGCTAACGATATTGTTTTCCACGACGAACGGGAGAGTTATCCGCGACTACGTCACAATCCACTGACCTTAGTGATCGATCCCACATTTCAAACAATAATAGTTTATGTGAAAATGAAGATTATGTTAGAGAGTTAAAAAAGAAAATTTGTCAATTAAAAAACGAACTACAAACTAAAATAAAAGACAAAAGGTTGTTATGGGATTTAAAAAAAATGAAAATTCGGAGCTTTACACAAAAATTTTCAAAAAAATTGGCTGATCAAAGAAGAACAATAAGAACAGATTTAGAAAAAGAAATACAATGTTTAGAACAACAATTGACGGAAAGCACTAATGCAGATATTTTAGAATAATTGGAAAATACAAAAAAGAAATTAATGGAAGTTTATAGCTATGTAAATGAAGGAATTAGGATTCGATCACGAGCCTCGTGGTACGAAAGCGGAGAAAGGGATTCGCGTTATTTCAATTAATTAATGCAAAATAACAAAAGAAAGAGTACTATTAAAAAAATTAAAACCTCAGATGGTGCTATTTGCTGCGATGAAAAAAGGATAACTGAAGAAATCCGGAAGTTTTACAGTATGTTGTACAGTAAAGTAGAGTACGAGTGCTCGGATAATTGTTATAATAGTTTCTTTCAAGGTTTACCGAAATTGACTGAAAAATCTCGAGAATACTGTGAAGGATCTATAAGTAATAAAGAATGCCTAGAAATCTTAAAAGAATTAAAACAGAACAAATCACCTGGAAATGACGGTTTTTCTTCAGAATTTTATCGTACCTTTTGGCCGGATATTGGAGATTTAGTTAAAGATGCCTTGAATGAAGCATATAGATTAGGAGAATTAGCATCGTCTCAAAAACAAGCTGTAATTACGTTAATCGCTAAAGATGGGAAAGATCCCTTTCTACTGAAAAATTATAGACCCATTTCCCTTCTTAATGTCGATTATAAAATTTTAACAAAAATTTTGGCTAAGCGAATCAAGAAAGTATTAAATGAGATCATTATGGGAGATCAGGTGGGCTACATGAAAGGGAGGAATATTGGTGAGGCCATTCGCATTATAGATGATATTATTTTTCATACATCCCGTTACAATTTATCTGGGTTTTTTTTTAGCTATAGACTTCGAAAAAGCTTTTGACTTAATTTCACATCAATTTCTTCAAAAAGTTCTGTCGTCATTTGGTTTCGGTCCATCCTTTCAAAAGTGGGTTAAAGTTTTATACACGAACACTGTAAGTTGTGTATTAAATGAAGGAGGGTCCACTGGTTATTTCAAAGTAGAAAGGGGAGTAAGACAGGGAGACCCTCTTTCTCCGTACCTCTTTATCTTGTGTATTGAAGTAATGGCACACAAATTACGAATAGA